GAACAAATAGGAGTTTCTTTGGAGAAGCACAGCAATAACTGTGATATTTCACCCAACTAGCCACTGTTTATAAAATGTAGAAAAGAAATAAGTCTCTTGTAAGAGGGAAAAAAAATGTGAGGTAACTTAAGAAAGAAAAGTGCTTATACAAGGTTAGATGGAGGAGAAATACTGAGAGTAAGAGATGGAAACTTGGCATAGTGTGAGAGAAAATCAAGTTTACATCAATAGTAATAAAGCTCAGGAAGATGTCAAAATGGATTAAGACCAGGGAAGAGTGCTGTGTAGGACTTGGAATAACAATAGTATGATAAGAAATATATAATCTGAATATAAAGAATAAAAAGTAGAAGACAAAGAGTACTGAGTGATGTGGAATACAAGTGACATGAAAGAAGAAAAATTAAAATGCAACATGAAAGGGAGAGTAAAAAACAAAATAAATAATAAAAACAAAGAAACAAACAAAAAACTAAATAAATGGAAAGAAGAAAGAAAAAATTTTAAAACATGCAAGTTCTGATGAAGAGCAAAGTGAAATTTGTCTCAGCTGCTGGGTTTTGCCTTCTGACTTCTTTCTGGATTTGTCTCTGGTTTTCTCTCAGCTCTAGGTCTTACTGTCTTACTCTTGGAAAAAAAAAAAATGAAAAAGCCTCCTGTTAATTGTTATGCCTGCTCAGCTAATTTGCAAATCTTCCTGGTTCCTGCAGGAAGTTGGTGGCTAGGCTCTGTTTTTCCTTTCCTGTGATTCCACAAGGATGGGGTCTCAGCCTGGGCTACAATAATCACAGATACCCAGTTTCCAGCCCATGCCCTGAGAGCACTGTGCAGCCCGCACTCACCACTCTGTGCAGTTGCACCAGGCTGGGGCCAATAAGCCACCTCATTTTTCACCCCTTTGATCAATCAGTGAGGTGCACTGAGAGGGAGCTAATCACATCCACATTCCTCCCACTTTATTGGCCAGGCTGCTGCACATATGCAAGGTCCCTGCACAGTGTGCCTTAGTTCCCTCTTTGAAAAAAGTCCCTTTGGGTACCGCTGCTGCTCTGAGCCACCACCAACTTTCCATACAATCCAACTCTCTGGCAAGTCCAAAGTCTATCTGGATCACAGCCAGTCACAGCCCACCTCCTCTCCCAGCTCCAGGTGCCACCAGGATCCCCCAAATTCTCTAGCACTGTCACAGCTGTCAACTGCTGCCCCAGCCTGGGTAGGTAGCCGGTTGTGTGTGCACTTCTTGCTCTTTTCCTCTGTCCCCAGCAACTTTATGCATCCAGGTCTCCCCTGGCAGGGGTCTGGGACTTCCCTGCCCTAGTTGAGGAGGGAGCAGGTAGGCTACTGTCACTCACCTGGCTCTCCTCCAATGTTCCTGCAGCAGCTATGGTCTCTGGAGCCAGGCCCAGGGACCTTCCCTGTTGGCCAAATAAAACTCCTTACTACTCATTTTGAAGAGTCCGCTGCATACTTTCGCTTCCAAAGTTCCTATCAGCTAAAATTCTGTTGGCTGTTCACTTTATTTTTTGTAAGATCAGCTAAGGGTCCCAGTTGAGTGCATGAGCAAGTGGGCTTAGCTCCCACCTATATCACCACCATCTTCTCTCTCCAAGGACCCTTTACTTAACACCTAAGCTATAGCCTTTATGAATGCCATTGATGGTACAATTTTATAGCAGTTAGTCAGGAAATGCCACCTGCTATTAAAAGCACCAACTGCAATCAAAATAGGTAGATCCAAGTTTTTCTCCAACCCACTCTATCTTATTCACACCTTTTAATAAATATTCTCTTTTGTTTGGTCTTCGGAGCATTTGTATCAGACATTTAAACATTCCACAGACTGTTAAGTCCTGCCTCTGTTAGGGTCATCCTTAGTTTCTATCCCACAGCTTTGCCTCACTTTCCTGATTAAGACCATGCCTTTTGGATGGAGGATAATAAGTTGGGGTGTACCGGAAGGTGGGGAAAATCAAAGAATAAGGAATGGTCATAGGTAATCTTTGGTATAAAATGTAGGAGAATGTATAGCAAACAGGGGAAGGCAGAGGGAAGCAGACAGAACCCAATGGGAGAATGGAACTCTGGCTGCCCCAAAAAACCATCTGGCTCTTTTTTCTTTCATTAAACAAATAATGTGTGTGTGTGTGTTCATATTAAACAATAAATTAGATTTGAGGGAAATGAAGAAAAAGGGCTATTCATATAAGAAGTAACAAAAGAAGAAATCCTGAATGTGATTGCATAAAAGTAATAATAATTATAGTTATGAGTCATTTATCAATCATGAATTTATGGTATATACACAGTAGCTATTAAACTCATCACTCATATGTGGCAGATTAATTTCCTTTAGGTTTTACTTGATTTCAACAGTGTATTATGTATGCCTAGATCTAGTTTATTATGGCATGTCTGCTAAAACTTCTTAAAATTTTACACTGTTTAGGTAATCTTGAACACCCTTTAAATATAATAGAAAGAAAAAAAAGTCACTAGAAAACAGGATAAAAAGGACATAGAAAAATGAAATCAACAAACATGCTAGAAAAGTAGAAGATGGAGTATTTGATAAATCCACTGGAGGAAAAATAAATGTAATAGAAAAACCTGGTTAAGAGCAGGAAAAGAAAAAGAATCTGAGCTTTACCAAACCATGTTAACAAATATAAGTTGTTAGATTTACAGATAACTTGCCCTGTTGAGACTTGAGAGTAAAGACTTTTCTAGAAAGAACTGAATTTAAAGCCTTCAAAACACAGCTTCCACATCACATAGTGTCTAAATGGCAGAGTAAATTCTTTCCAGTGCACCAAAGGGAAGGTTTTTACTATGATTAGCAGTGCTAATCTTCTCAAACAGAGAAGAGATAAAAGAGGCAAATACGTGGAGAAAATTATGGTGAATGTTTTTTTAAAAATAACCTCTGAAGAGGAAAGAGTATAATTTACTGTGTCCCCAAAAGAAGATGGAAACATGTCGCTCTAGCTCTGTCTACATACCCAATGACATCTGAGCTGCTGGAATGCCCTACAGTACCCACCACCAGGGCCTGCTGGCTACCCTGGCACCCACTTAACAAGCAAACAAGAGCCTCCAGCACCACGGCCTTGGCAGCCATGGAAAGGAGAAGAGGTCTCTGCCTCACATTCACATGCCCACATATCCTCCACAAAGCAAGAAAGAGAGAGGGAAATGTATTGCTGACATCTCTGGGCCCTGCATCATTTACAAAGAAGAAACTGAATGGGACATAGAGATCTACCAGTGATTCCTTCCCACGCCTTCCACGCAGCACTGACTGAAGAACCAAAGCCAGGAGGCCCAGGTTACACAGGGAACATCTAATTAATTGTTAAAGATGTTCTTTTAGGGTTCCTGAAGAACAACATTCTCAATCTTTGCCTCAAAAATATCCTAAAATATTTGATGACCAAATAATTTGATTTCTAATATTCCAGAACAGTTCATCACAAAAATAATGCTTCCTTAAGATGTTCATGTTTCAGCTTAGCACCATCTCACTATTTAAAGAGGTTGCCCACTTATAAAAATTATATCAGAATATGGAGAAAAACAGAACTGGAAAGATAATCAAATTTAAATAAACTGTTAAGATAGTTGGTTATATCAAAGTTATCCAAGAAGACTATTTTGTTATCTCTCTCCAACAGAAATTAATGAACAGAAAAAGAAATCCTTCTGTTTGTACTATACACAGCCCTAATGAAGAAGTCTTTCATAGCTAACTGAAATTTTTCCTGTGGAAATTTCTTCTTGGTGCATACACCTTGAACAAGATATTAACTCATATGGAAAGCTGAGAACTCAAAAAACCTAAATTTCAACCTCACTCACTTCTCTCCAGTCTATCCTCTGCCTTTTATACCTAACACCTCTTTCATTCTGTTGTTCATTAGAAATGCTCGTTGCATCTGAATAGTAGTTGGACAAAAAAGGTCTTTCCTAAACCAGCTTAATAAGAATTAATTGCTCTGATTAATAAAACAGTGACTCCTAGGCCTCAATGAGAAGGCAGATTTCCCTTAAATAGATCTGTTCCTTCCACAAACACTTTTTTCTTTTTTTTGGTGCCTACTATGTGCCAGTTCCTAGAAAAGCAACTGAGAATGCAAGGACAAGCTATATGAGGTCCTGACCTTGAGGACTGATAATAGAGAAAAGTGATAAACATATTCAGAACAATTGCTTCTGTTAGAATAAAGGCATAGGCAAAATGCTGTGAGGCCCATGTGAGTCCAGGAACTGCCTGTCTGTGGAGCAAACTGACTGAGTGAAAGTCGGGGAGGGGATTGTTGCTAACTATCATTTATTAATGCTTATCACAGAGGCAGATGCTACGCTAAGTGCTTTTCATACATTATCACACTTAATTTTCACAATTATCATCCCATTATCCAGATGAGGCAGCCCATGGTTGAGTTTAGTAACTTGCCATAGATCAAGCAGCCACAATTGGGCTCAGCACCCTTGTACTACACAAATGAGTACATGTGTTTGTCATCAGGCAAAGGCTTGCTTTTCCATCTCTCTGACCATCAGTGTCAACAATTCTACCACCTACCCTGTGAGAAGCTTAAGGTCTTGAGATTTGAAACTTCTTCAGAGCAATTATACCCCTAGTGGTGGTTCTCAGACTTTCATGCCCAAATCCACCCTTTTAAATGATCCTTCTTAAGAAATGTGCTTCCATAAATTTCCTTTCATAACTTTGGAGCCACTAACTACAATGTAGCCTGCAGGTAGAGATGCTTATTCAAAGTCCTTCTAAATATTTACCAAACTCAATTGTATAATTTACAATGCATAATCCTCAGTGAAACAAAATTAAAGATTGTCTATTTATAAATTTTCTTAATTCTACACTCAAGTCACAAAGTAAAATTTTTAGAGTCTGATAAATGGCTATCTTTATTGATGTATGTAAGAAAAGATAAGGCAGAATTAACACTTTTCAAGAGACTAAATTAGCACACAATTACCTCGTTATTTCCAGATCCTGAATCATGTTCACTAGAACTTTTTTCCAGAAAAGATTTCATCTTCTCATCCTTTTCAATGCACTGGAAAAAGGCCATTTTCTCCAGATGGTTACTGTTGTAACACGTGGTGATTTTTTCCAGCCTCTTCACTTTTAATATCTTGGTGGTGAGTTCGATTAAGTTACTGTCTGGAGCGTGGTTTTCATCCCCCTCTCTCCCTGATTTGTAAATCAAGACACAGTCACGACTTTTGATTACACCTTCCCCTTGACTGTAAGGAAAGGAAACAAAGTTCGTATCACTCACATATTTGAGTTTTGGGGAAATGACCAGTAAAAATTTTCAAGTCTCTTCTGTTTAAACTAGAGAGAGGATCCAAAAAAACAGGAAGAGAAATGCTAATATTAGATGAAACTTTAAAAGAAAAAAGTTTTTCCTCATATGTTCCTACAAAAGCAAATAATAAGAAGCAACTGTAAGTTTCACCAGGTAACACTGCATAAAATAATATTTATATCAGGTGGCAAGTTTAAATACAGAATATTAAGTTTCTTTGTACTTAATTTGTATTGAAGGTTTTGCCTCTCTCTTTATCCCCAGTAGGAAGGGCTTCCTGTATAAAGGGTTTCACATGCTTCCCCTGGGAATTTTGCCCCCTTCTGGGAAGTAGTCTCCACCAAATGAGTCATTTCCAGAGCCATTCTTTGCCTACACTTTAAAATGCTTGGTGGTTTTTTTTTTTAAAGAAATGTGTTTTCTTACAGCCCTCTTACATAGATAAAATACCCAGATAACTTTCTTTTCATCTTCATTAATAGCTCAGTAGCATGGAGTTCAAATCCTTGTGCTTGCCTTAAAATACTTTCCTTACAAATAGGTAATACACATAATATTGCTTTGATACTAGAGATCCACATGCATGTATGCATGCATGTATCAACACATCCCTTGATTATGGGGGCTGGTGTGATTTAAATTTGTGGAAGTTTTGCACTGCCAACTCCTGAAGCCCCCTGCTGGAGATGTGTTGAGAATTTCTTCTTCCAGCCTTTGTCAATTTGAAATAATCTGTACTTATCTCCACAAAATTTTATTTTTCATTTTCTCAACTCACATAGTAAAATAACCTTGAGTTTCAAATTATTTAAAATTCAGTGCTCTACAAAATTCAACTTAGCCACATAAAGATCTTACATTCAAGCACACTAAAATGTAAATAGTATCAACCAGAACTATTAGAATTCTTTCAAATTGCTCTGGAAAAAAAATTCATTATTAAAATGAGGAGAGAAATGAGTGACTGTTTCTAAGGCAAATTATTACTAAAATATAATATGTAATTGCAAATGGTACTCAAGTTGAGTCAGAAACCCACAAAAAAGTAACATATTTAAAAAACGCTTAGGTCCAACACACAATAATTTTGGGAAAAATTAAATGTTAATTTTTACCTGGAATCTGAAAAACTTGTTATTTAAGGCAACATGGAGAGAAATAGAAGACGTTTGAGAGGTTATAACAATACTTTTTTTAAAAAAAAATAGAGTAATTACCATGTATAAGAGGACATTCTGTGGTTTTGGCCACTCCAAGTGTAGAGTATAAGTTCCGACAGATAAAGGGAAGTTTTTCAGAGTTCAGAATAACTACAATCTTCTGGTATAAGTCTTCACTGTCAGTCAGTATAAATCTTCTGAAAAGACAAGTCTCCACTAAGAAAAGGAGTATCTTCTCTTTCAAATGCCACTCTAAGCCCCTGTTTAAACTAATATGGTCCTTGATCTCATGTTGCTCAGCTGTTGCCTTCTTAGTCAGATGGAGAAGAATATTAATTTTAGACATCAGGCTTTTCAAGGCCAGTGGCTCCATTTCAGAGGTCAGGTAAGGAAAGGATAGATTGGGAGCAGTGGATGAAATATCACCTTCACTTTTTCCTCTCATCTGTGTAAGAACACTCTCAGAATTGTAAAACTGCATTTGTCTTTGGCAATCATATGTCCAGATATGCTGCCCCTTTCAGACTTGTGATTATATAACTGCTCATTCCCAGACAGGAGGATACTGGGTGAGGGAACCCCCAATTGCCTTTGTTTACCCATATCATACTTTGAACATGAATATGAGAAATCCTCTGAAAGCACTTAGCAAGTTTTAATTTTTTAATCCTTAAAATTATTTGCAGTTTCTCCAACTGTTTATAGGTCTAGGGAAAGATTGAAGGCACAGGCATCTAGGGAGTTACAAAGGACAGGAACGAATTTTCATAAACTTTCCTTACAGGCAATGCTGTACCTTTCCTCCTATTTTTCCATCACAGGACAAGAAAAGAAAATCTGAGCAAATAATGCACCTACCTGATTCTAACAGTAGTGCATTCCTAGCTTTATATAAGTGGCATACATCCTGGATCGCTTAGAAAAATGGAACTACTAATACAGATAATTATACAATTCTTCAAGGCCTGGACAATTTTCCTCTCTTTTGGGGGAACATTTGCCGATTCTTCCACCCCCACTCTAACAGCATTTTATGGTGTTCTCTTGATTTTCAAAAAAATCTTATCTTTAATTCCAATCAAAGATATATTCTATATAAAACAAAATACACATTTCCACTTAGATAACATATAAAGTATTATAGCAAAATCTTTAAAAAGCAGAACTTTTGGTATTTTTCTAGAATTAGAAAACTTGGTTCTTCAGGAAGAATAAGCAAAATTATGTATTTCTTAGAAATAAATTATTTGATAAAATTGTTATGAAAAGACTGAACTGACCAGGTTACCAATTTTTCTTGGCATAATAAAGTATGAAATAGTGCTGGTAAGTTGATAGGTCTCTCCTCAGAGAGAATACAATGTGTGCAGCCTTCTGATGACTTGACCACACCCTCTACTCAGACCATCCAAACTGCCAATCAGACTTTCCATCCCTTCGGCTTCAGCAAACCAGCCACAGGCTCTAGTGAACAAGAAACTAGCAGAATCCATTCCTTTGAGGTTTCTTCCTAATTTTTTAAAAATGTTACAGTATTTTTAAATCTACGAAGTGGTGAAAAGTGGGAAAATAGCACTGAGTTTCCCTATGCCCATGCCCAAATTTCTGTTTTGGAAAACTTACATTGATATTGTCATAATTAATGAAACAATGCTGATACATTATTAACCAAACTCCATAGCTTATTCAGATTTTATGTTTTTCCCTAATGTTCATTTTCTGTTTCAGAATCCCATCTAGGATTTCATATTCTACTTGAAACCAATAGGCTTTGTGATGGATTGTGATGGATTGGATGGATTGGTGTGAAAGAAAGATGGTAGACAAGGATGGCCTTCCAAATTTTTTTCTGAGCACTTGAAGAGAGAGTTGACATTAACTAAGATGAAAAAGGCTATGGGAGGAGCAAATTTGGGGGTAAAACTCAGGAGCTCATTTATTGACATGTTCAGTAGACATTCAGGTTGAATAGGTTGTGGAGAAAAATCTGGACCTAGGGGTTAAGATCCAGGATGGAGATATAAATTTGGAAGTCATCATGTATAGATACTTCCATGTACAGTATGTACTCAATAAGTATTTGTTGTTTAATCACTAGAGAGAATATTTTTAACTATGTCTATTTTTCCTAAAAAAGAAGAATCGGCTAAAAGAATCCACACTACATTCTACTTATCTTCTAAAATTAGCTAACAGTAGTCCAGTTTTGCTATTTCATACTATTTCTAGCTTCTGATAACACAGAAGATGGCAACCTGGTATAACTCTTGACCACTAGAAAAACAAAAGAACAATCAGGTAATGCATGCATATCCATTGTGGTTTACTCACCTGGCTTCAGCATCCTAAGTCTAAAAAATATTGGGAATATCTTAAAGATGCTCTTATGCTTGAAAAACTTCACAATGAGACTAAGAGCAGACCCAGTGACACTCTTCCCAGTTTCCACTGATATTTTGGAATCAGAGGTCTTAAAAAATATTAATCTCAGGAAAACAGCATTCTACAAAACCATGGAAGATGGGGTACTTTTTCAAGGGACATTTTCATTAACTAGCCAGAATCTATGCTGTCAAAGGAGCAACACAAAATTATTAATTACCAATGACACTATACTGTTGGCATTCAAACCACATTGGATAAGGTTAATAGTTTATATTTGTACACAGCATTGTGAATGTTTCCAGAATGTCTTACAAATATCAAAATGCAAATGAAAAACATATCCTGTTATCCACATAACTATTGATTTTTCTTCCTTTCAAAGAGCCCCACTGAGAATGACCCATAAAAGTGAAAATGGAAAAATTGCATGTCATTGAAATTCAAAAATATTTCCTTTTCAAAAGACACCATAAGAAAATGAAAAGACAAGTTACAGACTTGGAAAAATACTGTGAAATCACATATTTAATAAAGGACTTATATTCTAAATATACAATAAACTCTTACAAATCAACAATAAGATGACAACCCAATTTTAAAAAGGGGCAGAATATTTGACAAACATCTCATCAAAAAAGATATACAATTGCATTGATTAATAGGCATATGAAAAAAATGCCCAAAATCAGTCATTAGGGTGATGTAAATGAAATCACAATAAAATAGCATTTTAAGCCTACTAGAAAAAGATGTAATAGAAAAGACAGACAAAACCAAATGTTGGCGAGGATATGGAGTAACTGAAACCCTTCTCACATTTTTATTGATGTAAAATATAAAGTGGTCCAGCTGTTTTAAAAAGCAGTTTGGCAGTTTCTTAAAAACTTACTTCCCACATAACCTAACAATTCTTCTCTTAGGTATCTACCCAAGAGAAATGAATTCACATGAATACACAAAGCTTTGCTCACAAATGTTCACAGTAGCATTATTCACAACAGTCCAAAACTGGAAATAACCCAAATGTCTATCAACTGGTTTGGTGAATAGAAAGAGAAAATGTGATACATCCATTCAAAGGGAATATTACTCAACAATAAGAAGTGATGAAGTACTGATCCCTATACACTTAGATAAACAGAAACATTGTGCTAAGTGAAAAAAAAGCCTGAAATAAAGACCATATACCATAAAGTTCCATGTGTATGAAATGCCCAGAAAAAGCAACTCTGTAGACACAGAAAGTAGACTAGTGGTTGCCAGGGGCTGCAAGTAGGAACAAGGATTAACTGTAAACAAAATCTTATTGGGGTTACAGAAATGTTCAAAAAACTGTACAGTGGTGATAACTGTACAATTTGTTAAGTTTCCTAAAACATTGCTAAATTGTACACTTAAAATAGGTGAATTTTAAAATACGTAAATTATATTTCATTGATGTGATTAAGAAAACAGAAAACCTAATTCCAGTAATAAAAAGTATATATGTTTTAAAAAGAAGAAGAAGAAGAAGAAAGCACTACTGAACAGTTTGTGGACAACTATTTCAGGTGACCAAAGCTGAGATCCAAAGGCATATAAATTATAACCCACATCTGTTGGGTCACCTGGAGCCAAGACAAAGGAAGAGGAAATGGTGAACAAGAAAGAGTTAAGACTCTCACTCTTTTCTCCTCCTGGTATGAATACCACATAATATGTAATTTTATAATTAATGGCAAAATTAATGGTAATTTAAAACTAGCTTCTATCTCTTATTTTCTACTGAGAGATATAATACTTTTAGCAAAGAGGCTGACATTACAGAATACCAAAACGTGTTCACAACGCAATTTGATATTAGACCCTTACAATTTCCAAGTGCCAGTGAGTAGCTAAATTCTATATAATAAAAAATGAAAATAAAATAGGAGGGCTCAAAAAACTAGATAAAAGTATAGATGGAACCATTTAAAAGTTCAATCCTTCAGAAATCCTAAATAATGTTTTAATTCATTATTATTATGATTGCACAATTTTTTGATCTAATTATATTCTCTTTTACTTTCTTGTAAAATATAAATACATGTCACTGAGTTAATATACTCTTTAGAAAACAGCATGTGATAATCAATGGTAACAAAGTACATTGTACAAATACTACTCACAAGTTCATAAGTTTCCAAACTGCGTATGACTTTTTCTTTCTCTTATTTTTTAAAAAATTAAAATAGAGAATTTGCAAGAACAGTACAATGAATATCTAATTTTAATGTTTTCCACATTTGCTGTCTCTCTTATAGTGAGTTACATGTCTTGTGAAACTTTATTTCTAAATACATTAGCACATGTCTCCTGAGAACAAACTTTCCCACATACCAGTATCTAATCAAAACATCACATAGCACACTTTGTTTTCATGTCTCTCTCTTTAGTCCCCTTTTATTTAGGGAACAATCATTCAGTCTATTTTTTTAACCCTTTACAACAGTTTTGGAGACCTTGGACCAATTTCTTCATAAACTATCTCTCAATTTGAATTGCCTGATTGTATTTTTTATGTTCAGGACCAGGTAAACCACTGGACATGAAAATGACATGTGACATTGTATCTTTCTCAAAATGTCACGATAGTACACAATGTAGCTTTTATCATGATGAGTCATGTTAAATTTGGAGATCTGACTAAGGTTGTATTTGCCAGATTTCTCCAACTTAAAGTTACCCTTTTGCTTTTTGTAATTAATAAGTAACTTATAAGAATTTATTGGTATCCTGCTCACTTGCAATCTATC